GTGTACTGTTAGGTCTAACTCTTAATGTGTGTTTTTCTACGCTCATCGGTCCGTCACAGCAGGATTTCTGCTTCGCACGTTGCATACCGCTATTTTATTGTCATTTTCGGACACCTTAAAATACTACCAGAATGGTGAAGCCATTTTGGCGAGCTTGTTTTGCCGCGCACAGAGAAAAGTGTCATGTATTTTACGTCATGCGATCAGCTCTCGCGATCGTCATTTTTAGAGAGCACCGATCGATCGGCAGAGAGTGAGTATCGGCCGATATCGATCGGCGGCCGATCGATCGGAGCATCCCTAGTTACAACAGTAGTCAAATAGGGCTTTCCACTGTGCACTAAACCTAACACTGCACAACACAACTGATGGTCTCAAACCGATTAAGAAGGCAAGTAATTCCACAAATTGACTCTTGGCAAGGTACACGTGTTAATTGAAAACCATTCCAGGTGACGACCTCATGAAGCTGACTTAAAGAAGCCAAGAGTGTGCAAAGCTGTCATCAAGGCAAAAGGGGGCTACTTTGAAGAATCTAAAATATAAATCATATTCTGGATTTTTTAACACTTTTTTGTTAACTAAATCATTCCATATGTGTTCTTTTAGTTTTGATGTCTTCAGTATTAATTTACAATGTAGAAAATTATTAAAATAAATAAAAAACCTTCGAATGAGCAGGTGTGTCCAAATATCATGTGTTTGCCACAGAGCCTTTTTTCTGCAATATTCCGTAATTCAATGTTAAATCTCATTAAATCGCTATTTGTCGAGGGAACCAGGGAGATGCCAACTTCTTTATACCTGATGACGTGGACATGGTTCTGGGCTTCATGTATGTGGGAGGAGGTACAGGCTTGTCCAGGATAGCACCTGAGGGACAGAGACAGTAGGTCCCAGTAAGACTGAGGGTCACTTTTAATTCGAGCTGTACATGTAATGAATACAACAGGAACACCGGGCTCCACTGAAGCCTTTCTAATTAAGTGACACAGCAGTAAGTGATCTGCTGCTCTGTTCTCATCAGCAGGAGCTTCACTGAAGGTGCAGCAGCAACATTACTGCTGCTCCCAATTAGTTCCCAAATGAAATTAAAATCTACGGTGGTCGACAATTGGCTTCAACGGCCCAGAATAATCCTATTAGGTGAAGACTTTTCTTCATTTGCGTGTGATTTGTCGGATTAGTGTTTTTTATTTACTTAATTTTTGAAACGGTGGTGCATTTCTCCTTATGGAAGTGTTTTGGGCCTTTGTAACTGTTTGCCACTGTAGAATCACTTCAAATGTTACACTTTTCAACACGACTTTGCAAGTTAAATACTGAAGATTGTAAAATGATTAGTATTATTTTTTTGTGTTTAAAGATTTGAATAGAAATGCACTCTCACCTTCAGAGTTGGCCTTTCTCAGCTCCTCGTCTTTATTCTAGACACATATTAAAATACATTATTAAACTACTCAACACAGGATCCAGAATGTATGATGGATAAGCAGTCCTCGTTAAATAAATGTGCCACAAATATATAAAATCCTTCTAAAACACACACACACAAATCCTACCTGACTGGTCTTGGTGTCAGCAGGTGGAGTTTTGGCCACGCCCATTCTGTGCAGCATCACCTGAAGCCTCTGTTCAAAACTAGACGTGCTCTCAGACGCATGTTTCTGAAAGAGCATCCATAGACATTTAGAATAATAAAAAATGCATTTTTGTATGTTACTGTCAGTGCTGTGGTATTCTTCACCATAATCAATCAAATAATCAATCATCATAAATGTGGACCAAACTGATAAACACATGAAGCCTGCAGAATACTTCATCTGACAGAATCTGATCTAACACTTAATGATTACAGTTGTCTCGCATTCTGGTAACAACTGAAACTGATGCAGGACTTCTGAGTGTCTCCATCTCTTAAAGAATCAGATGCAGCTGACAGATGCTGGAATTTTTTCCAGATAAGTTCTTGTTACATCTCTTAGCTTTGAACTCTGACAGTCTGATCAAGATTAAGAGTCTGTTCAGTCCTCAGGATAGACTTTAGGACAGTATCTGTTCTTTTACATGTTGTTGTCCTTTTACTACTAACAAGTAGTACCAATACAATAATCTTCAGCCTGCATCTCACTACAGCAGTGCAGGAATAATATTACTGTTGATAAATTATAATTATTTGTATTACCAAGCCACAGAGAAGAAATATACATGTACATTTTACAAACCAGTTTCTGGTTTTCTTTGAAAACGGGTCAGCTCAGACTGACCTCACTGTGTGTGTCATCCTTGTCTTCAGGCTCTAACCCTGTCAGCAGGATGAGGCTCTGGCTCTTTCCCTCCCTCAACGACCTCTTGGTCACCTTGAGTCTCCTCTCTCCAAACGGACTCCCTCCCAACATCTCCTTCATCTGCACCCCGCCCCTCTCCTGCTCCGTGAGAGGGGAGGTGACCACAGGACTGGAGGGGGGGCCTGGCAAGTGAGGAACTGCCTCTCCTGTCGGATTGGAAAGCGTGGCAGTGGTGAGGTCGGGACTTGTGGCGGTGTTGGGGAAAGAGGGAGTGGTGTCACTGGAAGGCGTCGTCGTGGTTAAAGTCTTGGCAGGCGCCATCGTTCCCTTCGCATCGCCTGTAGGATGCTGGCCCGGGGCAGCGGTTCCTTCTGTGGTGGCGGCATCATTACAAACGTTAGCATCCTCCACTGACCTTGCCCCTCTCCCCTTGTCCCTGTCCCTCTCCCTCTCTTTGGCCTCGCGGAGGGGTCGGATGAGGTCTGCGATAGAGGTCCTTTTGACCTTCACCCCCTCTCCTCCTCCCTCTCCCCCTCCTGCCTTGGGGGCTCGGCCGCCTCTCCCCCTCTTGAAGGCAAAGAAGTCGCCAAACTTTTTCTTGATGTTTTTGGTGGGAAGTGTGGTGGTGGGGGTGACAGAAGAGGGGGGTGCAGGGGGAGTGGAGGATGTAGAGAGGAGGGATACATCAGTAGATGTAAAGCATGTGTCAGTGGATGGGACAGAGGGAGAGGTGACAGTGGTGCTGGGGGAGAGGGTGATATTGTCAGACGAAGAGGAAAAGGGGGTTGAGGCTGAGGGGGTGGAGCTTGAGTCTGGGGGAGTGGCTGGGGCAGGGATTGACTCCTCCCATCGGCCTTTTCTGCAGCAGAGACAGCAAAAAGAGCAACAGACAAGAAGAGACACTCAGTACTACCACTACTGCTACAGGAGTCAGGACACATGCTCAGTTCAGGTGCACAACACAACAAGAAGGGTCATGCAGACGGCCCACAGAGCAAAGACATCCGTCAGAGAGAGTCCACACTGGCACACACCATGATCCAGAGCACCATATCTAAACGACTCTTGGAAGGATTACCATTACATTTGGTTTGGATATTTGGAATGGTGCAGGAATGAGTTCTTAAATTCTTGAGTTCTTCTATTTTTGGTTCCCTTGTCTAGAAGTCAACATTTCTTTTGAAACTAAGTTTTGGCTGGATGCCTGAAACAAGATCTCGGCACAAGCTGAAGAGATTTTGTTCAACAACATAAAACACGTCTGTGATCGTGAATTTCCAAAATGTCTATGTGTCGTAAAAAGAGTGGTTGCTAACAAGGGACTAAATAAGACTACTAAATGTATCACGCTAAACATTAGCCACCTTTAGCTTAGCGGTTGTGATGCGCCATCATGTATTTTCATTTTTTAGCCTAATGTTAGCATTTTACTTCTGTCAATAGCATTTATGCTTCAAAGATCATAACATTGGTGTTAATCTGTGAAGATTATCCCGCTGAACAACGGGTAAGTAATATACAATAAGTACATGAAAAACATAAATACCGCACTAATAAATGGCCAAACTTCTATGTGTCATAAAAGCGGCAGTTAGCAGTTAGCTAGCAACTGACTAAATGGGGAAAACTAAACGTCATCAAGCCGACATTAGCCGTCTTTAGCTTAGCCATGGTGAAGTCATGTACTGTAGTTCCTTAATAGCTTAACGTTAGCTTTTTACTTCTGGCTATTACATTTAATCTTCAAAAAATTAAAGTGGTGTTAATATTGTGAGTATATAATGCTGAACAAGACTTGTAAGTATCATAAACGTGTGTTTGACATGGATCTTTTTCTATTCCGAAATCTATGAAAAAAATGTAGGATGCTAACTTCCGGGCTAATATTTTTGAACTACTGAGATTTCGTCTAGCATTATTGTCAGGTCCAAATCAGGTACTTGTTTTAATCCATCGATGATGAACAGATATGCTTTCATTTCAGCAACTGCTGCAGTGTATTGGGCTGGAACAGTTTTTTGGGCTTCCACTCTTTTTTTCTCCACTCACAGTCCAGATGGGGCTACAGAGCTGTGATTCAGCAGTTGTGGTGGACGGCAGCTGCTGATGGATGCTTTTGCTTCATGGCTGGTGTCGACGAAGGGTGAAAATGAAAACATATGGACGCCAACAGAGGGCAGTCAGAGATGATTCCATTCAAATGACTTTGCATGTCTTCAACTTTACAAAGACATGTAGTACAATTTGAGTGTAAGTTGTGTTGGATGCATAACGCAGGTCAGGTCAACCTGCTTTAAGCAACATGAGGTTACCAACTCCCTTCATGTACAATCACCATCATGTGATTGCAGTCACTAATATAGGATGGGTTGTGTGATCAATTCTTCTTTTACTGATGAAGAATGTGAAATATTGTTGGTAGTCCAGGAAAACGCTACAATGGGACCCTTTGAACTGAACATATTTGTCTCACAGCAGGCCAACTACCTTTATTTTAATTATTGTTGTATTATTTCAACCCAGTCTCACAGCATTTCGAGTTATAGTCACGAAATGTAATATATTGATTCGTGTTCACCAACACGATTTTCCCCTTTTTTTCGTGTCACACAGAACGATTTTAAAAGCAATGTATTTATATTGGTAGTATGTTTCGTGCCTGCACCACATATTTTTGTCCGGTTGGGTCTTGGAAGACCGGAAGCTGTGTGGTTCATAAAAACATTTTCTTACTCAATATCAAGCCACGATTATTGTTTTTATTTTAAATCGTATAATGTCGACAAACCAAGATGGCGGCGCGCTAAACAGACGTGTTTCTCTCTCCTCCGCACAATCTTACTAATCCTGATATAAAACCAACAAACTACGACAAAGTGAGCAATATAGTTGCTAAAGAAGACCCTGATGCCCTCAAAAAAATCCGTTAGAGGTCGCGGAAAAGGAAAAGCCCAATCTAAAATAGATTTTGGCCCGTCCATA